ACCCCATTTTACGGCACCATCTTCCTCTTCGCTACTGGAGACAACTTCGCTTCGTTCAGAAGAAGATTCACTTGACAAAACTTCAATATCTGCCATCTCCTTCGCCCACGAATACAAACAAACCGTGAGTGAAATAAACCACGCTATCGGAGTGAACACAACCAGTGACGTCATCAATCCATTTCGCTCGGTACCAGAGCCCGGACATGGTTTTGTGGAAAATTTTTGATTTGAACGGTTAAAAAAGATATCTTTCGCCTCTTTTTGGCCAAAGCAAATTATCTCACGATGATCAGCATATTCAAAACTACAGGTGAGAGCAAAATTTTCAGATACGAAAATTTCGTTTCAGTAGCACTTTAAGTGCGGGAAAACAGGAGTGAAAGAGTCGCGTTTGGTTTTAGTTTTATATCTGATTGGTTGAGAAGGTGGTGCAAGTTTTCATGACCAATCACAGCTCGAAGAAATCCAAAAGCAATGCAATCCTGATTACCTTTGGCAGTTAATTGAGAATTGCTCAAATTCATCTAGAAAGGTAATGCTGCCTGTTATTGAGTGCTATGATATTCAACTCTACTTGTTCATCTTCTATTTTGGCGGATAAACTTCGCTAGAGAATTGGGAAAACACGAAACTACAAGCTAAAATGAAGCGACATTAGTTACAGTCTCGTGAATTCTCATGCATTTATTTCTTCTCTTTCTTTTCTCTAATTTAACAAAGGTTATTCAACAAAGTTTAACAAAAGAGAGGCATTACCAGCCCTAGTTGATGCAGTTTAGCCAGGTCATCAAACGCAACTTGCTGTTTAGGTCCCAGAACATCATGCACTTCTTCCAACAAACTAAATGGGAAGAAAAACCAAAACATAGATTTCGATGCGAGATAGTTGATTCCCACAGGCAAACCAAACTTAAAGACATTGAGGAAAATATACCTCAAAAAGGTAGCTGGGACTCAAACTCAGCCACCAAGATGGCGGTCAGATGTCACTTTTATCCATAATCAAAGGGAGCACTGATTAAGAACCTTCAAAATTGGCTTCTTTTCTGTCTTACCTGTCGACTATCTCTGGATGCTTTCCCAGCTCAAGAACACAAAAGCTCAACAAACTGGCTGTAGTCTCGTGACCTTGAAGGGGGTGATTAAAATAGTAAGAAAGATGCTACGACTATGCGACTGTTGCGCGCAGAGAGCTTTACTAATACCCATTGTAATATAAAGCGCGGGAAATTGAAGCGATCATGCAACTGACGCGGAAAAAAAGATAGAGGTCTGGGCTCCCCTGGAGAATTTGGAAGTTACGCACTCTTGTTACATTGCTTCGCTTTTCCTTAAAGTCAATTAGTTCGAACAAATTGAAGAGAATCAGATTACATACACGTTGAGGACCATGACACTTACATCATACATAAAGGTTACAAACGGGTTCAAGAGCATTACAAACGGGTAGATGTACCCTCTACCAGCCTACTATCGAAATCCTTGATTTAAGATGACGAAGTTATAATATTTTTATCTTTTAGGAGGGGAAGGGAAGTAGGAAGACCTGGGAGAGGTGGAAAGGGTTTTAAGTCAACTGATCTAGATGTGAAGTCTCTCACCTGCAATGAAGAAAGTAACGAAATCATCCAACATGTCCTCAATTTCGAGGTCTGGAACTGATTCTACAAAATTTAAAAGATAAAAAATTATTTCAAACAACTAGTCGGTAAACATGGATAACGCTCTCACAAAAAAGGTTTAGTTACGCATGCTGCAAGATACACACTTCTGCTATTCTTCCTACTGAATCAAAGTCGTTGAGGTTGACAAGCTTTGTTCGCTACTTTCCTATCTAAAAGAGGCAAGGAAGTTCTGGGTTTGCCACGGCCACGAAGTAGAGAAATCATAGTCAAAAGTAGTCTTCATGATTAGACGAGTGAACGGTCCAATGGACGGACGGATTAACGGACAAACTGAATGACTGAATGAAAGACTCTTGATAATTAAACCAAGTGACTGACTAACGGACTGACTCACTGTCTGACCTAGTGGCGGACTGACTGACTCACTGATTGAGCGAGTGACTGACTGACTGACTGACCGACTGACTGACTCATTCGCTCACTCACTCACTCACTCACCCACTCACTCACTGACTCACTGACTCACTGACTCCTTCGCTCACTCTCTCACTCACTCACTCGCTTACTACGTGATTGACTGGCTGACTTACTGCCGACACAGACTGTGTGAGAAACTGAATGACTGACTGGCTGACTGAGTGACTCACCAACTGATTGACCGACTGTCTGACTAATTATAAGCCTAAAAAACTAACCTTGCTGCTGAATAATCCGTTGTAATATATCATCAGGGACCTCTTCTCCTCTCGCCATGGCATGCTTTCTCACTTCAATCACTTTCCTTCCAGTTTCACGCAAAAATTTTACTGCCTTTACCACGCGCCATTGGTAAGGATATTGGAAAATGTTCCACTGAAAGTACGTGAGTAAACGAAAGAAAGATCTTGGTGTGACACTGGTTTAAAAATATTGTGCACCTTCCCCTCCCCTAAGCCAAAAACAGCCAACTGCGTGGGGGGGTAGGTTGACAGTTGCTCAGTTAAGGACATCGATCCAAATATTTCATCAGTACTGACTGATTGAGTGAATAATTTAATCAACTAACAATTGATACATGTAATTACTTATTATTCTATATGGCAGCTAATACCACGGATGAAATACCTTGTGAAAAGGGCTCATTTGTGAAACATGAACTCCTTCAAAGCTTAGCGAAACTGCATCTCTAAATGTGGTGTCCTTTCCACTCATAACATCTACATCCATGCCAAAAGCAACCTACGTTAACAGACAAAGAATTGAAAATTATGGCGCTCCTTAATAGTTCGAAGTATCTCTTCTGAAACTCACACTTGACAATAATTTTCTTTCCCTTTTCTCCACGATAATTGAGTGGTGAAGATCCCTTCCCGGCTGGCTGAGAGCAATGTATTATGCCTTCCAAAGTGTTCCTAATCAAAGTTTAATGTCTTTACGTGGGGCATGGTTACCCATATTGCCCGAGCCAGAGGCTCATTTATGAAACGCAAGACAACAACCCACCCATCCCACCCCAGGGGAGGACATCCATCACACAGTAATCTCGTGCGTGGGAAATTAACGTGTCCTACCCCTAACCCTGCAGGAGACGGGACCTCCATTTATTCGTCCCTATCCGAGAAGACTAGAATATCTAACCATTTCTTGATGTTATAGAAAGGCAGCATATTCTTCTCAATTATTTTAACACCTTGAGTGTTGGTCCGGCCGGGGCTCGAACCCTCGACCTCCCGCACATCAGTCCAGCGCTCTATCCACTGAGCTTAAACCAGGAGGCGGTTGTTCTTGGTGTATGAGCTTTTCCTCTCACATTAACTTGATATTCAAAAATTCGCCACAGGCTTCCTAGAACTATGTTCCAACTATTTCTGAAAATTACTGATGACGTTTCTATAACAATATGTTTGGTGCCCAATCATCAACCTTTATAGTTTAAAAACAATTAAGGCAATTCTTAACTGACACTCAAATACACCATTTAGACAGTTATATATATCTTACTCATGAGTGGACAGCGTAGTAGTGAGATTACTAATGTGCCTGATGCCTATGCACACAGGACATAATGTTCACTAATTGGTCAAAACGCATCCTAATACATTTGAAAAATAATTGTTGATATTCCAGCAAAGTGATATTCATCCCTAATTTCCAACCCAAATCTTAATTCACAGAAAATTCAATCAAAGCCTTTCCCTAAAATCTAATCATCCTATAAATACTATCTTTTACCAAAAGAGAGGCTATCAAGTACATTGGCATAGAGTGCACTATTTAAACAATGGCTGATTGGTTTTTTTCAAGCTCACCAGTGCGTTTTAATTCCCCACACTTGAATTTGTTTATAGTTTATCATTGATTCCTTGTGAAATTTATCTCCAATCTGATTGGCTGCTAGCGTGTTTAGTTTAATCTTGTTATCAAAATACTTGATCCAATATGCACTGACTTGATTACTAAACAAGACCAGCTCAGTTGTCACCTTGCAAATGATATCCAATGCTGCATGACCAAACTGTTCAAGTAGGCAAACTTCTGTTTTCCCATCAGCCATTTTACCCAGATGAGCAATAAGGAGGTCAGCAGTGGCATTAAAAGAAATCATCAAGTCTTTGAGGTATCTGTCAGTGAGAATATTATTTCATCAAGATGGAGTGAAGCATATGCATATTGCATTTCAGGAAAATTAAATGCAAATAAGTCCTTAACTGTTCATGCATCTACAAATGTAAACAGTAAGAAACTTACAACACCATCAATTACTAACAAAACAAAGAGTACAAACTTTGATTATTTTTTCCAAACAAATTATTACAAAGCCTTTATAATAATACTAAAATTGCTTAAGTATATACTAGGTTTTAAAAAATTTTGATAACTAATTGAGCAGCAAATGCATTATCATATATAGTGATTCAAGTGGACCTCATGGAAAGTAAGCCATGATTAATGACCCTTTCGCCCCCCCCCCCCAAGAATGATGAAAAAGAAATTTCTCCTAAAAAAATTCAATAGATCTTCACCCACAAAATGAAGAGAGAAAAATATTAAGTAGGGGCGGGGATATATGGTTTGATTTAGCGGCATATTTTTGAGGATGAAATTGAAAGAAATGTATGGCAGACAATGTGGGGAACTTTTATTAGAGTCCTGGACGTGAAATAGTTAAGAGGATCCAACAAAGTTTCAAGCAGAATAGATCCTGTTAGTAAACTATTCATTTGATACTTACTTGCGGTGAAAAGCTGGGTTCATTATGCCACGTCTTCTTTTCCAGTTCTCATTATCCACATTGGTGGCCAAACCATTACCAAGAAATCTAACAAAATGCATGTCTTGTAGTGAAAAGGGCTTCACCAAAGGTCACCCAAGGTCTAACTTATCGTAAATACCACAGCTTTAACCTCACATTGTAAAAAGTCTCCATCAAAAAACTGATTCACATAACTACCTGAGCCTAACCCAGTTTCTGTGGCAAACAGAACTATCACCATCCCTCTTGAATGGGATGCCACTCTCTGACAGGTTTAAACCTTCCCTTCCCTTCCCTTCCCTCCCCCTTCCGACTCCACCCATTTATTTTTTAACGTCTTAAAGCCTACAAAATCACCAACAGCCTTCTAGCTTGTGGTTCTGGATGGAGAGATGCATTATTAGGACAAGTATCTAAGCTAAAAAAACATAAATGGTGAACTTGGTTACAGCTTAAATACACAACTCTAAACCCTTCACCCCTAAGAGTGCCTAGCATCTAACTTCTCGTGACAATATCACCCCTGAATCACACATTAATAAAAATAATAATTTACCAATTTATATAGCATGTGCTGCAACTTTATAGCATGTGCTGATCAATAGCGCTTATTATATAAGGTTGAGATTGGACGTCAGCATTTTATTTTATTTTTAAGGTCATGAGAATAAAGGAAAAATCACCGACTAAAGAAGCTCTTTATTATAAAACAAATTCTCCAAGTCAACACCTTAGGACATGTATAGAGTACAGTATGGAGAATATGCATACTGATGTTAGGGTGGAAAGGGTTAATCTGGAGTCCAGCCTAGGATTGGTCATAATCCACTTTGACAACAAAACTGAGATGGTAAGATGGTTTATAAACACCAAAAGTTTAAAACCTGTGAGACTGGTTAGAAACTTAATCTCCAGTAAAATAACATGTTTATGAGTTAAGACACAAGAACTTGCCCCTTTCAACATCTCTTTCCTATAGATACCAAAGAGGATAAACATATATTTTTTAATTCCATTTCAGACCAAACCATAGTCTTTAACACTTTCAATATTCTTCTACTCTTAAGCCGAAGAACCTCTTGCTTTGGCAGAAACGTGACAAAACCAATGTAAAAATTACACTCCCTGACATTTTTAATAAAACACCTACTACCCTCCCTTGCCACTCTCAATAATGGTCTGCAAGATGGCATAGAAACATCAGGGATTAACAAAATTGAACGAGGAAGTGCGACTGAAAGAACATTACAGACATTGTTCTGGTGAAGTGTTCCAACTTATTTTGTCTGGGAGTGTAGCTATGATATTCCAAACAAACTTTAACAAGATAACATAAGTAAACATACCTTTGCCCAAAGAGATAGCCAAGATCAGAATAGGCTAAGAAGTGCTTGGGGAGATTAGAGGCAACAAGAATGTCCTTAAAAATAATTAAAGGAAAAAAAAGTTTTTAGCCCACAAATCTGGAAGACATCAAACCTGGACAACGATGTCAAGCTTGAAATAACTCTCCTATACAATTTGCTTCCAATTTTTGTTTCCACATATCAGTACATTTAAAAATCAACATCAATCACTGTTAAGTTTTACTGATGACTGACTGATAATACTTGGAAATCATTATGTTTTAAGGATATTATTTTAAAAGTTTTGGAAGTGTTCCTTAATCAAGACATGGGAATTAAAGTATAAAATCATTGATCTATAAAATAAAATAAATTAAGAAAATCACACCTTCCAAATTTGTGCTTCACATAAGTTACTTTAAGTTTGTAATAAATATTATCATGAAACTCATCAATTATTTTGTTTCAGGTATACTGTATACTGGTAAGTTGCACAGAAAATAATCTCATATACTAAATCATTGTGAAAGCTTCAAGACTTAATTTTGAGTCTGTTGGTCTCAAAACTCAACAGAAATATTCTGATTTATTACAAAAGTTGATAATGTAAGTTGCATTTGCTCAACAAGTACCTTCACCATCTCTGGATCAGTTACCACAATAAACGGGAAATGCATAAACCAACAAACAAAAATTGCACCATACTCCATGTGCCTGTAAAAAAAAGAACAGTCAAATCATAAAAAGAATTCAGTAAAACATATAAATAATTCAGTAAAACATATAAATTAATTAATCAACCATTAAGTCAACTTCATCCATGATTTAGAATATAAAATCATATTTACTAGAGTACTTACACCCTTTGACCCCTGAGAGTGATCAGCATCTAATTTCTCCTTACAATATCACCCCTGAATCACATGTTAAGGTCACAAGAAAAAAGGAAATGATCACCAACTAAGGATCACAGCTCTTGAAGTAAATAGCCATGTTTATGAAGTTCAAACCTTTGTCACTTTTTCAAACCTTTTCAAACTTTTTCAATTCCCCCACAGCCTGTAGAGATACTATAATTAAGACTAAAATTGGCTCATATTTTTCACACTGTAGTTAGAACAGTTACATACGAATTAACTCTAACATCATGATACAAGTAGTTACGTACCACTGCAGAAATAAGCTGTGAATAGTATTTCCTGCATTACGGCATGCAATGACATCTTTCATGTGCCCAGAGAAGAAACTTTAAAAAAAGTAAAAAAAAAAAAAAATAATAATAATAAAAAATAAACAAACATGGTGTATAAAGGTTTTGGTGGGAATGCCCTGGTAAAAATTCCCTTCAAATTTTTTTCCTCGTCAGACTTCCTTAAGGTTCTAGTACCTCACTTGTTTCTTGGTTCTCTACAGCCTATTCCCTTCCCCCAGCACTAAAGAGAATAAATTAATTAGAGTATATACTAAGCTATGAAGGATCTGAGAGAGAGAGGAGAATTAAAAAGGGGAGCACATGGCATTAAGATAAGGTTGGAGGAGGACCAGGGCTTTGGTAAGGTAAAAAATATCATAATAGCAAAAATTGTTCCAAAATTGTTTGTTCGGCCACAAACCCAGCACAAAATTTCTGCAGTGATTCTCTAAGGGAGCATTCATTATTTATGGGAGGGGGTGGGCTGGCAAGATTTTCAGTGAGACTAAACAAAATATCCTGACCCTGCTCTATAAGAATTAAAAATGTCATGACCCCTTTAGTTGTAATTGCAAAAATAGCTAGCCTCCCTTCCCCCTAGGACTATCAAAGCAGCTAGGTAAAAAGATGTCAAAAATATCTTTCAAATATTTAATTTTATTGCAAAAACACCCTAACAATACAGTTCTAGAGTTTGAAATCTAAAGTTGATACAAAATGGGTAACATAATATAAGAAATATCCTATGTTACTGTGTCCAGCTTGGTATGATACTGTGTACAGCTTGAAGAAGAATAGCTCTCCAGTGCATGCAAAGCTAGCTATTGTTCCCTGTATGGTGGGTAGTAGAAATGTACTTCAAACTTAAACCCACATTTGTAGATGACATGCAACAACAAAAAGCTTTTGACCCCCCTACATCATTCCCAAATTTGTCTAATGACCCTCCATTTTAGTTCCTGAATTTATCATAACCCCCCCATTATTATTGTTAAGGCTTCCTAAATGGAAGAGAGACATTAAGTAACAAATTGGGAAGTAAATTCCTATTGAGATGCTTTTTGCGATTCAATCCATGTGCAATGGCTCACGAATTGATCTTGTGACATATATTCTGAGCAAGGGTTTGGTTCCTCACTGCCCCGATCTTTGTCCATTCGAAAGGCTTTCGCAGGAAGTTCTTAACCTTTAATGATGCTGGCCTTTCAACCTTGCACCCGTACAAATTTCAAAAAATTACATACGAAAAAATATGATGCTCCGATTAGCAAACTCTCCACAAGATACAGTCACAATTACGAGGGTAGGTTCAGCCAAAACGAAGCGCAGTGAAGTGACGTGAAAAGACAAGGTGTCAGTTGAACAAAATAAACATCTCACCTTGTCAATGGTGCAGATGGTATGTGGACAAATTTCCGCCTCAAATGAGCTACATATAGTGCAAAAATGCAGATAAAGACCAGTAGTAGCGTGATCAGGGCACCCAACGCGAAAAAAATCTCGTACAACATCGCGTGAGTGTTGGGTCAACGCGGGCAAACTTCTCAGCTCAGCAACTTCTGCAAAAGATTGCAACAGACGTGCGGAGGAGACCTGGTAACTAATCCTGCGAGAGCGGTCACACTCTCGTCAGGGTGAAAAGAAGAGCACAACTACTATTGTGAATTCCTGGTTTGATGTTCAATTACGCTATTACTTTCTCATTAATTCTCCCTTTTTTCCTTTGTCAAAACAATTTCAACCATCATTCAAAGGAATTACCCACTTATAGACCGTTGTTATCGTGATCTATCATGTATCGGTAATCTGACTAGCCGTGAAGAACCCGTCGATAGCGATAGGCTCTCTACGCTGTTTGATGCTTTTTTTTAGTTTTCTTTGCTTCTTTGTCCTTTAGTTTGATTTTACATTCCAATCCTAAAGGCACTATTCTCAGTTTTGAAGGTAATCGTTAACTTCTCCGGGCTATTATTTTCTCAATACCGCTAAGTAGCAGTAGTCATTCCTCCTTGTTGAAACTAACAACTACAGGTACTTCTTTCTTGAGTAAGATCTGCTTCCTTGAGTTTCCTAACTTGGACCCAAATTCCCTCCGCCACTTCCGTCAATGAGTAGAAAGAGGGCCTTCCAGAGGAATTGAAGAACGTGGAAATTTGATGGGAAATATCGTGTCTCAGGGAACGGGGAAACACGTGTTTCATAACTTTAAAGGATATACCGTATTCATCTGCTATAAGACCCTTTTCACGGGATATATAAACAATAGCGTCCTCTTGGGTCAAAAATGTACTCAGATACTTGTCCGCAGACACCACTGACCTGTTCGAAGACATGCACATGCGAACAGTTTCCGGAGGCAAAGCTCCTGGAATACTGTAAGCTTCAAGGAACAGATGATGTTCTAGGAAAAGAATACGAGCATAGTTTCGCGCCAAATGGAGCTATTGTATTTTATTGTCCTTCAAATATTTTGCAACGCACAGGAAATAATGTTTACGAATTGATTAATGTTTATTGCGTGTGATGTTCACTTTTAAGCGTTCTCTGCCGGGACCACTATTTCATGAAAACACAAACGTTTTCCTTCGTCTGTAACAATCACAAAACACTCTCTCATTTTGAATTTAATTCTAAACGAACACGTATCAAAGTGGACATAAGGTTTGGAAATTGGAGAATATCTCTAAGGGTATAACCCCGGATATTTCCTAGTTTAAGCTGGGGAATATTCGGTCACTTAATGCGTTTAGACCAATCGCGCTCGAGAAAAAATTTTAATGGATTATAAATGTTGCGTCTTGGGTGCAAGTAAACTGAAGTCAATTTTCAAAAATAGCAATGAACGAATTTGAATTTGAATCAGAATGGTTTTGGAGATCGAAGAATTAGGTAGCAAAATCAGGCTAAGAACAGGTTGAAAGCTTGGAAGATGATAGGAAATTGGGGAAATCGGATGTCAAATTGTCTGGATGGAATTTACCGTAATGATCCGATTCATCACCCTCGTTCCAACAAACGCCCCCCTCTCTAGTAAGCGCTCCCCCTCGCATTTGATTTTTTATTTTTATTCTGAGCGCCCTTATTCCAATAAGTGCCCTAAATGAGTAAGCACTCTAATTCCCATAATTAAGCGTCCCTATTCTGTTTCAGTGATAGCACTGTTAGAGCACCTGGACACTGAGATCAACCGTGGTTCATCTTCCTTTAATTTCTCACCAAAAGCCTCATTACAAAAACAGTAGTCTTCGTTAGTAGTCTCCAGCTATATTATGTTCACGTGAGTGCTCAGGTCCATCAAACGAATGTTATTAGCTGGTCATCTTGCCGGGAAGGTTCCGAGTACAACAAGTGCATTTTCCAGTCTTCTTGATTTTTATTTTCCAACTAAACATCAAAGCTTTGTTTTGTACATTCTGCTTTTTCTCAAAAAATAATTAAGCGCCCTTCCCCGAGGCACCAGAAGTAAATAAGCGCCCCGGGCGCTAATTCAAATCATTACGGTAACAGACTTTTCATTCTCATTTGCATTAGCAGGCGAAGGAAAATGGACCCCTTCTTCATAAGAGGCTCTTGAGGTGAAGTTTGTCTTTGGATAAAGACCTAAAGTCATCCTGCAGTGGGACTCTTCACTAAATTGGGTAGCAGAGGCTCCAGTGTAATGCCTTGTTTATTTTTTAGCTTTCATAATTTTGTCTACCTTGGGTGCGATTCCCCGAGGACCGCACAATTCCATCAGATTTCAGACAACGCAAAAAATATACCGAGTCGAAATCCCGAATCTGTTTATGGAAAGAAGAGAAGATCGAGGAATGTTACATAATGTTTTTTGTATGGGTTCCAAACTTTTGTTTAAGCTCCCCTTTTGGGACGCTATTTTGGGGAATCTTACTGAGAGGTTTAGAAAAACACTTACAATAAAAATTAGCGATATTAAAACAGGACGTTTCGGCGAGGGCATGTCACTATATCAAATGCAAATTATAGTAAGTTCAGTAACGTTATTTAAGAAGAAAGTGTGAAAATTCATATTAATGAGGCGAAAATAAACAAAAAGAATGAACATAATTCAAATATTTTTAATTAAAAAGTTTCGCTGGTTCTGTCCTGGTGTACCGGTTCACAAGGGAATTACCATTGTTCTTTCATTGTTTAGGAGTTATCGGTTAGCTATTGTGTATTGTTTGGTCTTTTGTATTGGCTCTTGTGAACCGGTACACGAGGACAGAACCGTTTCGCTGGTATGGAGTCTTTTTGAGTGTTTGCATTTGGTAATGGTGACATGTCGTCGCCGAAACGTCATGTTTCAATATCGCTAATTTTTATTCTGAAATCTTACTGAGCCGAAAGATTCTCAATGAATGATCCACTGCCTAATTAGCTACTAATACAAGAGTGATAAAGAGAGATAAGACGAGAGATCATATTTAGCAACTGTATCAGTTATAACTATGCATGAAGAACCATGAATGATCCGGGTTGACTATCCGTACAGCGCAATGCAACACTAATATCGTAAGATCTCGTTCCCCCTCTAAGATTTATGACATTCTTTGGTTTAAACGACAACAAACATATGAAACATATGTATGAACTGCGGTTATGAAACGTATATGTGCACGATCCTTCGCAGTAAAGCACTATTTGAGCAATAGTGAAAATCAGACCTGAAAAAAAAAAAATTTCAGGCCTCTACGGGATTCGAACCACTGACCTCTGCGATACTAGTGCAGCGCTCTACCAATTGAGCTAACAAGCCAACTGGGAGCAGGCCATCAAATTAATTCGACATAAACCCGTAGATGATAAATCAAACGACAACAAACATATGTTTCATATGTTTGTTGTTGTTTGATTTATCATCTACGGGTTTATGTCGAATTAATTTGATGGCCTGCTCCCAGTTGGCTTGTTAGCTCAATTGGTAGAGCGCTGCACTAGTATCGCAGAGGTCAGTGGTTCGAATCCCGTACAGGCCTGAAATTTTTTTTTTTTCAGGTCTGATTTTCACTATTGCTCAAATAGTGCTTTACTGCGAAGGATCGTGCACATATACGATTCTTTGGTTTGTTGGTATGATTCAAGCCTGAAGAGTTGGAGCAGCGTTTGGGAGGGGAAGGGGAGCGGGAGGCTGTCGTGCGCAGATCCTAACGTTCTCTTCCTCCTTGAGCTATGGATACCCACCATTCATATCCTCTTATCATTAGCAGAAGTTTTCAATTCAAGGGTCAGTTCAGATGCGTATTATTTAAACAAAAAAACTAGGTAATTTAAAAAGCGATGCATTCTGAAGTCGGTTTTTAGGCGTCTGGTGTTTTATCAAACTTCTTTCGAAATGCGCGAAAAACAATCGTGGTGTGAAACGCGGTTGTTTTGTTTTGTTCTGTTTTTATTTTGTTTTGTATTGTTTTTATTTTTTTTTTCTCGAGGAAGGATTACTACAAACTCGTGCCTCCGTCATTAAGGAAGTCCACGAAATACGATCCAAAGAAATTCTCCCCCTAATACTCTCAGATAGCAATCATTTTTGCCAATTTTGAAATAATCAACTTGACCTGTCAGTCCTTTTAAGTTGTAATTTTCTCTTGTGGTTTCAACACGAAACTAGTCTTCATCGCCTTTTCCGCAAAGAACTCGTTATCTTCGTATGCAGTTGATCCGTTTTGTCCTTGAAGTTCTCCACTTGTTCGGCTCTTGTTATTTTGAAGCTTACTCGGTTCAGCCGTTTGATTTTTTTTTTTTTTTGTAGTGTAAGGTTTGTCAGTCTCCTATCTAAAGATATCTTTCACGGTTTGTGTTTTGCGAGCTGAAACTTGCGGATCATAAAGTACCATGACTTCCTATGCTTCTTCTATTTTTAACCGAATACTGTTTAAAGTTGAAATTTCAAGGGCAATCGAAACTTTTTTTTTCTCTCCTAAAACAAAAAACCCTCCTTTCGACCTTTGAAAACGAAAACAGAGACGTCCACTAGAAACATGTTCAAGCGAACAGCACACGAAAATTAATCCGCCGTTTGCGTAATAATGTCAAATTTGTTTGTGTTCTACAGTCTCAAGAAACTTTTTCAATTTCCTCTTAAAAGAGCAGAAAAAAAGTCAGCGAAATCAGGTGATTGAATTACGGGTTTCATGTTTGCAGAAAGCGTGTTTCCATATCGATATGGATGGTAATATTGAGTTCATTTCCATACACTCCTTTTGAGGAAATGATTGCTATTCAGAAGGAGGAAACTATGCCATAGAGTCAAATATGCATTGTCACACTTCCATGGACGACTTTCTCCTTACAACAGACGTTTTTAAGCTCCGGCGAACGCTCTGTACATTCACAGTTCTCTTAACTCTCGTTGAGACAGCTTTGAGACAGCAAGTTTCAACGCGAAGTGAAACCCCAACTGAAGTACTCTACTGCAAACTGCGCGACAATATGCTCGACTTTTCGATCCTTATCCGTCAGCTTTATTTTGCTTGAGAGAAGATTTTTTAAAACTTACTCAGTTTTCCTTATTCTTTTTGTTTCGTCGACAGTTTTATTCTGTGACCAATTATTGATTTTCTTGTGACTGATGTAATTTTGATTGTGTTTGATGCGTATCCGTTGGTTACCGTAACCATATTCTTTCCTTTTAAAAATAAAAGTTCTCATTTACATACTACTTCCCTGTCTCCCTCCCCTATACAAAGGCCACTTTCCTTTTATCTAAAGTGGTTATGACTGAGAAGTTCGCCCGTAAAACAAGCGTGCGTAACACACTCGTGCCATACTGATTAGACCACGAGCTTTATTGTCTGGCAAATGAGAAACGCCAACACACGAAGGCTCCTCCATCTGCCAAAAGTAAAATTGGTCTCCTTATCTCTTTAATCTGCCAAGGCCAGATTTTCAAAGAGTATTCTGTAAATCCGCTTAGCATCTTTTTCTGTAGACGCATATTTCAAGAGTCTCTAGAGACTTCTCTAGAAGAATCTGTGCGCTGATTTCGGGGTAATGAGTTGACCCATCTATCAATGTGCAATTAATCATTTAAGTTAGCGTAGTTTACTTCATTTGCGGTAGTTTGTTGGCCGTATACTTGACAGAATAAATTAGTCTGAACTTGTTTTCATAAATAGGGACCTTAAGCAGTAAGGACGGCAACGCTAAGGAAGACTTCGATTAAAAAATGAATTTCTACTCTTAGTTAGAATTTAAAAAATGGCTGCATGAGCTTACTGTCTCATACGACGCCACAGCTCAACTTCAGCATGACGTATAAAAGCAGCGTTGAGTTCCAAATGGAAATTAAAATAATTTGCCGTCGCGGTTTCGGTTCGCAGACGACGCAAATTTTGGCGATTTCACGTTGTTGTTTTGCATAGGACGGCTAAGAAATGTACAAAGTTTCAAAACGCACGTGCTGAGCTATTGTTCCGCCAATTAGATCTCTTGTTTTTCCACGTCCTCGTTGCCGTCGCCGTCGTGGTTGCTTAAGGTCCCTAATATCAGGAATTAATTAAGATCGCATTATTCCCAGCTTATCAGGAAAAATGCCAACGATAGTACAGATTCACGGCGGGGCTAGGTTTTCAGAGAAAATTTCAAACGCGCTCCCTGCCTTTCATCGGCATGCATCCACCGAAGGAATCGATCAAAATTGTAGTAGCTGCGCCAGCTTGGGTAGGTTCTCGAAGTCGCTAATCGTCTCAAAAAAATAACTGACCTTAAGATATCAATCTGGCGCCCTTTGATGGAAAGGAAAACTTGAAGTTTGTCGACAAGTTTGTTTAAAAAGGACAGGAGTCAACTAACTCTCTTAAAAATCCAGTCGTTATTGGCTGAGGGGTTTTCCGTAATTGTTGATAGGTGGACACTCAGACGCCGCGCTATTTCAGCCAGAAATGTGTCTGGTAAAGTTATTCTAGAGTAGCTACGATCAACGAAGTAGGCCTCGTCTATCGATAGAAACATGAAAATCCACTACAAGGTTGGCTCTAGGATCCAAAAAAATCGTGTTCTTTGGTGTTTGGTCATTTTGTTAACAATCCTCTTAGTCATAGCGATTGGGATGTTTATTTTTCTTTCACTCAACGCTAAATACCATTTTGCGTGCGTGTTAGGATGTGAGCCCGAAGCAAAAGCGGTTCGGGCGCAAACATCTGCGAACATACCGCCATCTATTGCCATTACCATCGCTGGTTCTCAATCAAGCCTCAGAACCTCGGAACATGAGAGAAAAAGCAGCGAAAATCCAACGCAGAAACATGTCACGGACACAGAGAAAACAACGAAGGTCATTGAGATTGACCGCGCCGATATGATTATCAGTTCCAGAACTTCGATTATCCATTCCAACGCACCGCCGCCAAGCGTCAGCACGAAATTTGTGGTCAGAAACACAAACACAGAGGGCGGAAAATCACCTTCACACTCCAAATCTAGAACAGCGGCCAATTTTACAACGCAAGTCAGTATCTACACCACAAAGAAGTCCCTTGATGTCGTCAACTACATTAACATAACCGGGAAAATTTATTTCAAAGGAAAAGCTCCAAAACGACTTTCCCGACATTCGCGCTTAATTGTGAAGTTTGAGGATAGTTCCCTGGCGGATGCACCTCCAGTTGTGCTCGCCAAATCAGTCGTGGATTTGTCAACGTATCGCCGGAGGAAACCTATTTTTTACACGATCATCTGCAAGAGGCCTCCGTTTGCATCATCTTTTTACAGCATCTCAGCTGTTTTGAACATGGGATGGAAACCAACAAGGAGAAACAAGTGGATCAGAAAAGGGGACTTCCTGACCGACACTTATTTTAGTGTACGCATTAAAAAGGGCAAGACATTCTATCAGAGAAACATTCAACTTGTTAAGTACAATTAGTGATTTACATCGGACACATAACGATTTCAGAGCATATCTCGAGCTCTTACCAAGTTTAACGAACCCGAGGGTTTATTTACACGACTTTCCATTTACGAACGTGACTCGGATCTTACGAGGGCGTAACAAACGTAGCTTGAAAATTTCCAACAAGAGTCGAACCGCTGTTACTCTAGTTTTAGTGTAACTTTTTTCTAACTGGTTTCAGATCCATGCAGTAGACATTTCGCTGCCAACAAATGTGGCAAGGTAATTTTAGGATGTAAAAGACATTAATAATAATAATAATAATAATAATAATAATAATTTATTTCTTATATATAGCGCTATTTGCAATAACAGATCAATAGCGCTTTACAATTGATATCTCTATATATTAAAATCTCGTCTAATTAAAAAATAATTACATATTACAGTTAAATTGGCTATATAGAATTAAAAGTTAATAATAAGATCTTAAAGTGTATACGCGCTAGTACTGGTAACCAGTGTAACTCATAGGGTGCTAGAGTAATGTGAGAATACTTCCCGATATCCATAATTAGTCTGGCGGCAGGATTTGCACGCGTTGTAACTTAGCTAATTGCTCTTTGGGAAGGCCATACAATAAAGCGTTACCGTAATCTAACCTACTCGTGATGAATGCGTGTACCAGAGTGAGTAAGCTGTCTCTCGATAAATACTTCTTAATGCGTCTAATATTATGCAAGTAGAAAATACCCGCCTTACATACATTAGTGATATGGTGGCGCATATTCAGGTTTGGATCAAGCCAGCTCCCAAGGTTCTTAACTTGGTGGCTAGATTTTATCTCTGAACCACCTACTTTAATATTCATAGCCTGTAATTTGTTAAGTTGATGGCGTGTTCCAATAATAATAAACTCAGTCTTATAGTCATTAAGAAGGAGTCTATCATGGATCAGCCAGCGCCTGATCTTCTCGATACAACACTCCATCGCACGAATTGCATCTTCCTGGGATGTGTTACTGATAGGTTTGAAACTGAGATAAATCTGTGTGTCGTCGGCATAGCAATGCACGTGTGGAAGTTGATCTTCAACCACTCTGAATAGCTTGGATACATAGATTAGAAAGAGCAGGGGGCCCAGACATGACCCTCGTGGGACACCACACTCCAGGCTAAAGCGCTCTGAAAGAGATCCGTCGATGGAGACTCGCTGGCCTCTTTTCGCCAGATACGACATGAACCATTCCAACGCCAATCCGCATATCCCAAGCTCCTCATTCAAACGAGTACTGAGGAGGGTGTTATGATTAACCGTATCGAAAGCGACACTAAGATCGAGCATGACCAGCAAGGTGACTTCTTGAGTGTTCATTTTCACGAGAATATCGTTCGTGACTCTAACAAGAGCCGTTTCCGTACTATGATTTTTACGATATGCAGACTGAAACTCAGGATATAATGAATGAGTAATCATATGGGTGTGTATCTGCTCGTACACCATCCTTTCAGTCAGCTTTGAAACATACTGCAGGTTGCTGACAGGTCTGTAATTTTTGTATAGAAGGTCTAGCCCAGACTTCTTCAGCAGAGGAAGGACAAGCGCACACTTCCAGTCATCAGCAAATAGCCCAGACTCAAGTGATAAATTGATCATTTTCGTTATGATCGGTAGAAGCACGTCAATGCAATCTATCACTAGGGATGTTGGCAT